CTATTTATATGAAGGCTTACCTTGTGTGATTAGAAAAGTCATCAACACTCACCTAACTCCAGGTAAATCTTAAACTTGTCAGTTCACCAGGACTTCCATTAGTATAAATAGTGAGTTGTATCCATCACTGGCTTGCTGCACCTGTCACATAGCTTACATCCCCAGGTATTCCCCCAGTAGTCACCCATCTATGCACTGACCAGGCTTAACACTGCTTAACCAGTGATCAGAAGAGAACCAGTGTTTCACTATAACTCTAAGCACACATCATCATCATCATCTTTTATTTTTACTCCTAGATGCCCGTTCTTGAAGCCTATTAACATCTGAGAAATAATAACTTTCTGAGATTCTATTGGATGCCCACCGATGTACTGAAGTAATTTAAGATAAAATGATTGCATGTAGCTCAATATTTGGATGCAAATGCAAAGATGAAGGAATGAGATTATCAAGAATAAAACAAGATCTCTATGTTTACAACCATCAATGGCATAGCTTAAATTCTTTCACTCCTACACCCAAGACAATGCCCAATCATGGACAACTACCAGACATTGATGATAATGCCCACTAGACACTCAAATTCACATACATACATACACATTATCATCTGAATCACACATACAACAACTAGCAACTAGTGATACTTAAACATACATGAATTATACACACAAACACTGCTTGACAAGACAAATACACATGAGGTCTGCTTAACCAATGAAAAAAAAACAAACACAAAAATGAAACTACCCAAATTTTCTTTTCCCCTTCATATTTCATTTTCTGATATTTCTGTCAAGTTCTGATCTCTCTCTCTCTCTATATATATATATATGTATGTGTGTGTGTGTGAGGGTAAATCAAAAATTATCTGTACATTCACCATAACATATCTTTCGGTTTGTTACACTGCCTTCTGCTCATGCATGCTTATAGTTAGTACTATTGTGGTCACATGATTGAAGTTTGAGTATGACAGTTTCTTTTTTGTTGCTGCTACAGTGTAAACATGGCCGCTCTGCTAGCAGTGTGCACCAAGGAGGAACAAAGAGCAGTGACCTGAATCTGCAGAAAACATGCTACCTCATTGATGATAACTTGCCGGTTTGCCATTACCATCTCTGGAGTTTTCTGAATCTTCTTGTGAGTGGTTGTGTGTCATGCTTGTCCAGCCACTTTTAAACTTCTCAATAATTCATACACACTTTTAGGCAGTAGTACACTGTTGCTGTATTGTGTTAAAAGCCTCCAATGAATTTCAACCCTGACACACCTTCCAACCAGAGAAGTATATTTCCTACATTTTTTTTTCAAAGTAGCTTTCTCTATTTTGTCTCTTTCATAAAAACATTATAGAAAAGATTAATATATTTTGATGTCAAATCTTTAAATATTCACCTCCAGGTAATAAATTTGCACCAATCAACTGAAGAACTTTTTTCTTTAAAAATTAAATCCTGGGCCTGATATCAGAGGAAGGTTACATCTGGGCTAATCAAGTGAGGCATTGTTATTGTCACCAAATTGATAAGATAAAGAACAAATAAGAAACGTTTAGCAACCTAACATATTTCACTTTTATTCTATTTCATCAGAGAAAAGTAAATGGTGAAAAAGGAAAAAAGATTCAGGTAGTTTTAATTTTGTGTATCCAATGTTAAGATAAAACAATATTTAATTACAACTGCAAATAAATACCTAACAAGAACAAAGAATTAAAAGTTAACCAAAGATAATTAATGATTTCAGTGAATACCTTAGTAGTAGCGTGAATCAGCTTAATGTCCGGTAAATCCTAAATCAAAACTCAAATCACCAATGCACAATAATTCACACTAATTCAACAGGATAGTTCCACTCAATAGTCACCCAAATTATCACTGCAGTCAGTAGCCTGACACCACTATTTATACACCTGGCGGAAAACATATATTCATCCTGAGTGTCCCCGTTCGAGCCTCCTTGTTGGTAGTTACTCATTTTCTTCCTATATGACTGTTATATCGGAATAAAGTGTTGCTGCTGACACTTGGGTGTGAACATGGATCCTCGGAGAGCAAGCACAGTCAACCTCATCTTGAAATAATTAGATCACATGATGGGTAAAGGAAAAATATATATATTGGAATTGGCAGTGTCTGATCAAGCATTGTTCAAAGGCATTACTATTAATGTATCTGGGATTTACAAAGTCTCTCCTACAAATGGGCATTACCAAAATGACACACATGCATTCGACTCATTAAAGAAACATTAGTTTAATTCAAAGAGTGTAATTCCATTCGCAGTTTCAAGAAATTAACAGATTCCAAGCTTAACTGAAAGACTATAAATACTGCTTTATGTATGTAAGTCTATCATAATTCTACATTGTCATTGTTGGATTCAGATGATATTGTATATTCTTAAATGTCTGTGTGTATGTCTAGTAGTTATTCTGTTTGTTGGTTTTTCACATGTTGATTTGAGAATGTTTTTATGTACATACATTTTGTTTTAAAAAAATACATACATAATATTTATTTTAAATAAACATGTTTTTTAAGAATGGATTAATTAAAGGCTGACGAAAAATGTTTTTTGACGTGTGTTTATAGTTGGTAATCCTATTATTAGTAGGTCTCCAAAGTACTTTCAATATAAAGAATTATGTTTTTTTTTTGTTTTTTTTTTTAATTATAGTGGCATTTGTAAACTCAAAAGTTATGGCCAGTTTTGTTCCTATATATTACAAGAGAGTTTGAATGATTGTCTAAAAATCTGTAAATGTTTGCAGATACAGTCTTTTACATTTCAAGATGTCTCTCCATCATAAATACTTTTACATCTTTGCTAATCAAGTGATGGATTGTTATTGTCACCAAATTAAAAACTTTTCTCACCCTGTGAAATTTCATCTTGAAATGCTTCAAAAAATCTGTTGTTCCTGAAACAATTTCCAGATGTAAAGGAGGAAGTTAACACTTACATATATATTTGAAGGTAAATCATTTCACAAACTGTTATGTAGTACGAAAGGTTTTTCTTCCTCCATATGAGTTCGAATCCCTCGTCACCAAAGTTGTTATGTAGTGGTTCCACAGTGGAGGCTTGTATTTGTACTAAGTCGGTCCTAAAATAGGTTCGACGTACAGAACGATAGGAACTTGATATAATAGGTAATGACGCAGTAATCTAGTTGTGGTGGCTGATACTTTAATATCCAACTAACGGTCGTCCGACATCAACTGACTGACCAACTCTCTGAGCGACTGACTTGTTACTCTTACTACTCTTACTTATTATAGGTGAGAGAGTCTATTAACTATAGAATAGGTGTGGTCCACTATAACACAAACTACAGTTGTAAATTAGTTTTCTCAATATATCAGTATTTATTTACATTATCAGAATATCTTGACAAATCATTTATAAAACTCCAAAAATGTAAATAAGTAAATAAATCAGGAAAACTTGAACCTTCATTCATGCAATGAAATGTTGAGTCAAAAGGACAGTTTTTCCATTGACACCGCTGTTATTTTAGCTACCTTCACTCCTCAGCAATGTTTGTTTTAGAAAGCAATGATTAGAATTTTAATAAAATCTCAACATAAGATGAAAGTGAATTTTTTTTCTTGAGAATTTACTACAAAAATATTAAAACACTATTTATTAGATTGTTTATTTACAAGAATAATTTTATATCTACAACATTCTAAAAACTAATTATATTAAAACTAATACAATATTTATAATTTACCAGTTTATAAAGAAATAAATATGAAAACAATTTTTTTTGTTCATAACTTTATAAATATTTATTAAATTATTAAAATGTGTGATCCAGTTATAAGGAAATCCTTATTATTTACCATTTTATAAATTTCAAATCAATTGGCAATTAGCCAATGTTTTGCCAACTATTTCAAGACAATAAATAAATAAATAAATAAATAGTGTAAATAAGCAATTTAATAAATAAATAGTGTTTATATTTTTGTTGTCAATTCTCAAGAACAAAGAAAATGTATAAATTCACTTTCATGTTTAGGTTTTACTACAATTCTAATTATTGCTTTTTAAAACAATAAAAATTGTTGAGGATTGAAGGTAGTTAAAATAATAGCAGTGTCAAAACATGCCTTTTGATACTCTGGTTCTTTTTTTTTTTTTTTTTTGCAGGAATGATGGTCCAAGTTTGCCATAAAATAATAGGATAAACTAAGCTAAAGAATACTAAACATTAATGGGTAGAATATTTCAATGTTTATCTACATCATCATCAGAGCATTCTGAATATACGTTCTGTACTGCCTTAAAATCCAAATAAAAAAAATAAAGACAAAACTATCAGCCAGTGAGTAGAGTGACTTGTTTAATTTAAAATGTCTGAACTGGATAAAAGTGAAACCATGTGAATGGCTCATTACTTAAGTGATAAACTGCCGCCTTTTCATTCTCCACAGACAAAAATGTTCTAAGATAACAGCCTGAACAATCACATAGATGTTACTAAAGCTTCACCGTCATGAATGCCAAATGATACCATTTGTTCTGCCCCCCCCCCGACACACACATATACACACCTGCATCAGAGATAAAGAAAAAATGCAAGGGCAAAAAGTAATGTTACTCGGGCAGACGCTTCTTTGAAGGAGGAGAAGGCATCTGTGATTCCAGAAAGCAAGAGAACAGGAAGCGTGATGCGTCTTACAAAGATGAGGCAGCTGGAGAGAGTAAAAAAAAAAAAAAAAATAGGAGGGACGGAGAGTACTGCTCAAGGCCAGCAGTGTACCTTCTTGTGCTTTCTATCACTCTCTTCTCCCACTGCACAAAGATGAGGAGGAGAAAAATGGAGTTGAACAGTTGTTGGGCATGTCTTGCGGGAGAAATATCTGCCAGTACTTGGTGACTCATTCCATGTGTGTACGTCAATGAACAAGTCAACAAGCCAACTAATATAAGAGACTTTAACTTCAGTTCATATCTTCAATAACTAGTGAGGGGATATCATTTCACTGAGTCAGGAGAGAGAAGGTGAGTGAGAAAGAGAGAGAAGAGCAAATAGAGAGAGGAAAAGCAAAAAGCATTGAAAAAAAATTAATGAATGGAGAGAAAACTGAGAAAGAATGGAGAGAAAACCTGAGAGAGGGGAGAATGGAGAGAAAACCTGAGAGAGGGGAGAATGGAGAGAAAACCTGAGAGAGGGGAGAATGGAGAGAAAACCTGAGAGAGGGGAGAATGGAGAGAAAACCTGAGAGAGGGGAGAATGGAGAGAAAACCTGAGAGAGGGGAGAATGGAGAGAAAACCTGAGAGAGGGGAGAATAGAGAGAAAACCTGAAAGAGAGGAGAATGGAGAAAAAACCTGAGAGAGGGGAGAATGGGAGAAAACCTGAGAGAGAGGGGAGAATGGAGAGAAAACCTGAGAGAGGGGAGAATGGGAGAGAAAACCTGAGAGAGAGGGGAGAATGGAGAAAACCTGAGAGAGGGGAGAATGAGAGGGAGAAAATGAGAGAGGGGAGAATGGAGAGAAAACCTGAGAGGGGGAGAATGAGAGAAAACCTGAGAGAGGGGAGAATGGAGAGAAAACCTGAGAGGAGGGGAGAATGGAGAGAAAACCTGAGAGGGGAGAATGGAGAGAGAAACCTGAGAGAGGGGGAGAATGGAGAGAAACCTGAGAGAGGGGATGGAAAACCTGAGAGAGGGGAGAATGGAGAGAAATGGAGAGAGGGGAGAATGGGAGAAATGAGAGAGGGGAGAAGAAAACCTGAGAGAGGGGAGAATGGAGAGAAAACCTGAGAGAGGGAGGAGAAACCTGAGAGAGGGGAGAATGAGAGAAAACCTGAGAGGGGAGAATGGAGAGAAACCTGAGAGAGGGGAGAATGGAGAGAAACCTGAGAGGGGAGAATGGAGAGAAAAGAAAAGAGAGAGAAAGGAGAAAACCTGAAAGAGAGGAAAGGAGAGAAACCTGAAAGAGAGAGGAGAAAGGAGAGAAAACCTGAAAGGAGAGAAAAAACCTGAAAGAGAGGAGAAAGGAGAGAAAACCTGAAAGAGAGGAGAAAGGAGAGAAAACCTGAAAGAGAGGAGAAAGGAGAGAAAACCTGAAAGAGAGGAGAAAGGAGAGAAAACCTGAAAGAGAGGAGAAAGGAGAGAAAACTAAAGCTAGACAGGAGTGAAAGGAGAGAAAATCAAAGAGGAAAAGAGACAAAATGAAAGAGGGAAAAATGCTGAAAATGAAGGGGAATAGAGAGAAAAATGCTGAGGGAAAGATGAGATAAAAATCATGAAGAAGAGAGAGGAGAAAAATTAAGATAGATTGGCCCAGTTGAGAAAAATTAAATCGAAGTGGAAGGTATGATGCATTAACAGAGAGGAATGTGAGAAAAATGGGTGAGAGAGAGAGAGAGAGAGAGAGAGAACAATCAAATGTGAGTTACAGAGACTAAGAACAGGTTCAAGGAAGGAAATTGAGAGAATGGAAAGGAAGCAAAATAAAATGTATGAGAAAAAAATATATGGTAACAAAGGATATATAAAGTCCCTCTCGATTTAAAGAAAGATAAACAGAAATAAAAAGAAAAAGACAAATGGTGAGAGAAAAGAAAGAGAATGAAAGAAAAACTAAAGTCAAATCATGACAACCAAAAGTAATTGTAAAATTAAAAAAAAGCATATATGAGGGTGGAGGATGATACGAGAAAGACTAGAATAAAAAAAAAAAGAGGGTTAAAAACAAAAAGGTTCTAGACAGATATAAAGCATTTTTGGTAGAGAAAGAAAGAAAATACTAATCAAGATGGAGGCAGCATAAGAGAAAAGAATTTAAAAGATACAACAGAAATGAAAGGAAAAATTATAAGAAAAAAGGTGTGTCAAGAGATAATTTCTCCCACACCTCTTTCCTTTCCCTATTACCCTCACCATCCGATTCCAATCCTTTCATTATTTTCTAAACTTCAATATATTTTACTGTATTTTTGGTAACCAGTCCCACTCCTTTTCAACAGGTCCACTGAATTTATTTTTACTGCCACAAGTTGATATGAATTCCAATGGATACTCATGAATATTATAGTTAATGTCATCCAGTATGAACAATTACTCATGGAAAATAGGCCAAATAAAATTCAGTACCAGCTCATATCCTAATGAGTTTTATTTTTAAATTAAAAACAAGAAAAAAGTAGAGCTAATTCTGGATTATAATAAAGTCATTGGACTTTAATTTATGAGACTATTTAAAATTTATATTCGTAAGAAGTGATCCATAATAAGATCAATACCAAAAACAAAACTGTTGTACAAAGAGGCTTTAAAAAATCTGTTTATTACAGAGAGAAAAGCATTTTTGCAAAAAGCAAGAGCCTATTTCTCCTTTCACCATACAAAGAGGCTTTAAAAAATCTGTATATTACAGAGAGAAAAGCATTTTTGCAAAAAGCAAGAGCCTATTTCTCCTTTCACCATACAAAGAGGCTTTAAAAATCTGTATATTACAGAGAGAAAAGCATTTTTGCAAAAAGCAAGAGCCTATTTCTCCTTTCACCATACAAAGAGGCTTTAAAAAATCTGTATATTACAGAGAGAAAAGCATTTTTGCAAAAAGCAAGAGCCTATTTCTCCTTTCACCATACAAAGAGGCTTTAAAAAATCTGTATATTACAGAGAGAAAAGCATTTTTGCAAAAAAGCAAGAGCCTATTTCTCCTTTCACCATACAAAGAGGCTTTAAAAAAAATCTGTATATTACAGAGAGAAAAGCATTTTTGCAAAAAGCAAGAGCCTATTTCTCCTTTCACCATACAAAGAGGCTTTAAAAAATCTGTATATTATTAGAGAGAAAAGCATTTTAAAAAGCAAGAGCCTATTTCTCCTTTCACCATACAAAGAGGCTTTAAAAATCTGTATATTACAGAGAAAAAAGCATTTTGCAAAAAGCAAGAGCCTATTTCTCCTTTCACCATACAAAGAGGCTTTTAAAAATCTGTATATTACAGAGAGAAAAGCATTTTGCAAAAAAAGCAAGAGCCTATTTCTCCTTTCACCATACAAAGAGGCTTTAAAAAATCTGTATATTACAGAGAGAAAAGCATTTTTGCAAAAAGCAAGAGCCTATTTCTCCTTTCACCATACAAAGAGGCTTTAAAAAATCTGTATATTACAGAGAGAAAAGCATTTTTGCAAAAAGCAAGAGCCTATTTCTCCTTTCACCATACAAAGAGGCTTTAAAAAATCTGTATATTACAGAGAGAAAAGCATTTTTGCAAAAAACAAGGGTCTATTTCTCTGTTCACCATACAGAAACATAAAATTTATAATTTCCCCCAAAATTATCTTCACTCATTTGTTCTTTTGTATAAACATAAACATGGCAGAGTGGATAAAGGTGTTGGTCAGATCCAGTGACAGGACCCAAAAAGTTCAATATCCAGTTAAGGCAGTGGAGAACTTACAGAGGGAAATTAACAGGACATAACTGATAACTGACATCCATTAAACATGGCACGTGGAACTAGAACAGTCTACCCCAGTGAGTGAAATAAAGGGTTAAGTTCTACATTCCAACTACCTGAAGAAGGCCGGAGTGTACAACGGCCGAAATATTGTAATAAATATGGCGACAAAGATGAGGACAATAGTCCAAATAAGTAAATAATGTACATAATACCTCATCTCAGAAATATAGACAGAAAATGCTGTGAAATATTCAATATTTCCTTTAGAATTAATAGGCTTTATTCTCTCTATTGATGAAATATGTCTCTTCAGGATATCAGTGATTATATTTCTCTACAGTGGCCTGTCTTTTATTGCTCCTTTACCATCACTCTTTTGTCTTTGTGGTCATTGTCTTGCTATCCATTTGCTCAAACTTGTTAAATTCTATCTCTATTTCAGTTTGTGATGTCATTTATGTATATTCGTGGTCCTCCACAGCTTCCTGTCTTGTTACTCAGTAATACTTACGCCTTTATCTTTGTGGTCCTTGTGCTGCCATCCATTTACTCAAGCTTTTCAAGTAGCGTTTTTTCTTATTCTGAGTTAAATTCTCCAAGAATTCTTTCCTCATTATTTATCCCAAATATTTCACTCATCTCTGGCTGTTAGTAACAATTCTTTTCAAACTTCTTCATTTGTCACATGCTCCATCCATGACATTCTCAATATTACATGGGAGAACAACATCATGAATTCTTCATTTGTAACCAAATCATTGAGCATTCACAGAGAAACTGGAGGTTCAACATTACACCTGAATATGGTGCACTTTTCTTTCTTTCTAATGTTATTTCTTTTGTATGGAGGCATGGTAGAGCAATGGATGGCAACTTGGATCGAGGAATTGGAGAGCTGAGTTCAAATTCCAACCGAGTTCATTACATTCACTTACATGCTAATACCCTCAGGCAAAGTATAAATCCAATCCATCTCCCTCTATCTATGGGTAAATACTAAGATAGACTGGGTGTCAACTGGTTAGGGGAAAGCAGACTCTAAATTGAAAACTGCATGTAGCCCTAGTGAGGCACATACTATACAGCTAAGGAAATGATTATTCACACTGATTCGGTGGTTTACTCCTAAATAGCTTGTTCAATTTCAATAAGGCATCGTTTACACTTTCGAGAATTTCTGTCGACCTTCTCTGGCCAATGACTATAAAACCCAGATTTTTATAGCAAGAAACCATTTATGAGTACAGAATTAATCCCATCAGATTTACTTTGTGATTTTTTTTGCTGCACTTTGATAAATCCCACAATAACAGTTGGTAAAGGAAGTGGCAAAGTCAGCATTACAGATATGATGGCAAAAAGTATTTGCTCTAAATGCACAGGTAAATATTACAAATGAACCAATTTTCATGAGTCTTAAATGGAACTCTTTAAATGAGAACTTTTTTTAAAGACTACTCAAAAACTTTGATTGGCTGCTGGCCTCATCATGAGAACAGTAAACAACTTTACAAGAAAACAAATATCGTCTGTCGACTCCCTGTAATCAACAGGGATCCATTTTTTTGAACTGCTATTATCATGAGACAACAAATTATTTATATTATAGCCATTTGTAAAAACCAAGATATCTTAGGTAGGATTTATTATTAGACTAAATCAAAACCATTATTCATTTTAATAGAAAAAAACAAGGAGCTAAATTATTACCTGAAATTTCACTTTATGATATTTAATCTCTATAATTAACAGAAGAATTGTATTAAATACATTGACAGAAGTGAAGATTATATCTGTCTATATTTCTGTGATGAGGTACTGTAATTATTTACAATATTAACATCATTTGGACTGTTGTCCTCCACAACCTTTGTTCAGGTGATATATGTTGGAATTTCAAACCGAACCATTTATTGTCCACGGGGGTAGATTGTTCTAATAACCATGCCATGCATATTTTGGACATCTCAGTTTTAGTTAATTCCCTTTAGTAACTCAATTCTTCAAGTTTTTGTTCCCTCTGCTGTGGCCAGGTATTGAACTCACAACTCTTTGGATCAAGTAACATTTTGGATTGCTCAATCAACGCTTTTATCCACTCAGCCATGTATCTTTGGGGACTAAATAAAGGGTTCAGATCAAAATTTCAATGTATATCACTGGAAGAAGGTCCAAGTGTAAAACAGCTGAAAAGCTGTGAATATGGCAATGAAGATGAGGACAACAATGTAAATAGAGAAGCTTGTGTTAAAAAAATATTATCTCCATAAAAATGTTTTCTTAGGCTATAGGTTCATTGATGAAGCTATAACAACGCATCACTTTCTTGCAATTTTCTCTTTTTTAATATCATGTACCCTGAGGGTGTCAGCAATCAACACTCTAGAGGTTTCCTTCCTTTTGATTATCCGTGAATTTTCATGACTTCTTGTTTTGAATTTGGGGTTGTCCTCCTCTTAGAATGACTGCCACTGAAGCTAAGAGAGCTAAATTCTATGTTGATATTTAATCCTTAGCTGTGGGTAGAAGAGATAGATTTATGCCTTTCCCAAGTGTATAAGTACAAAATGAACACAACAGCCTATGCTAGAGTTTGATCTTGCTTTACTGATTCCATTTCCCACATAAATAACCATTACATTATCTGCACATCTTGCAATCTTCAAGATACTGGCAATCATGGCTCTCCACAATTTCCCATCCTTTTTAGCTCTTAGTAAATTCTGTCTTTACCTCTCCTAAACACTGTTCTGCTGTCCATTTACACAAGGTTGTCAGGTAGATTATGTCCCATTTGCCTCTATCCCTCTTGCCTTCAATTTGTCCTGTCAATATCAAATTTTTCAAGGTCTCTTTCCTCATTATCTGCCCTGGAAATTTCAATCATCTTTTTTCTTATGTTAAGTGTAAGTGTCATTTTTGTTTCCATTTTCTCTAGGAATTTGTCATTGCTCACATGTTCAGTCCATGGTATTCTCAGCATCTTTCTGTAGAACCACATTTCTGTTGCCTCAAGCATTTTCTTCATCTGGGAGGAAATTTTTCAGCATGGGGACTAATATTAAGTAGTAGTACAGTACTCTCTTATTAGTTTCTAATGAGATTTTCCTGTTACTTAATACTTTGCTTAGCTTTTGGAAAGCATCTTTCACTATCCCAATGCACCTTCAGATTTTGGTGTTGCACTGTCTTCCTTTAAAACACTTCCCAGATATTCAAATTTTTGTACTTTCCTGATTTTGATATCTCCAATTTATAATTTGCATGTTGGGCTGTTCCTTTTGTTGGCAACCATACATTATATCTTTTTGTGATTGATATTTCATCCTTTCTTCTTGTGTTTCTTCATTACCTTCTAGAGGAGTTCTTGTAGCTTCCTTTCTGTGTCTATCAACACTGTCATCTATACATCTTATGTTGTTAAGATTGTGGCAACCATTAATGAATCCTGGTAGGACTACTAATTCTTTCAGTAAGTCCTTTGAGAA